AGAGCTGAAAATAAAATGCATAGAAGAAAACATAGGAACTAAACTCAAGGACTTGGATTTAAAGAAGATTTTATGAATTTGACCTCAAAGGCGAGGGAAGTAAAAGCAAAAATAAATGAATGGGATTACATCAAACTAAAAGGGACCACATCTGCTCAGCAAAAGAAACCGTCAACAAGGTAAAGAGACAACCATCTGAATGGGAAAATATATTTGCAAGCAATGCCTCTGATAAAGAAAGGCCTAATATCCAAAATATACAAAGAACTCACACAACTCAATAATAACAAAGAAACAAACGATCCGATCAAAAAATGAGAAGTGGACCTGAATGGACACTTCTCCCTAAAGGACATAAAACGGCCAACAAATACATGAAAAGATGCTCAACATCGCTAGCTATTAGGAAAATGCAAATCAAAACCACAATGAGATACCATCTCACACCTATTAGAATTGCTATAATCAACAGGACAAGTAATATCAAACGCTGGAGAGGATGTGGAGAAAAAGGAACCCTCACACACTGCTGATGGAATTGCAAATTGGTACAGCCACTATGGAAACAGTATGGAGGTTCCTCAAAAAACTAAGAAGTGATCTACCATATGATCCAGCAATCCCTCTACTGGGTATTTACCTCAAAGACTTGAAAACTCATATTCGAAAAGATATTTGCACACCAATGTTCACAGCAGCATTATTCTCAGTGGCCAGGACATGGAAGCAACCAAAGTGTCCTACAACAGATGATTGGCTGAAGAACCTATGGTACACATATACAATGGAATATTACTCAGCCATAAGAAGAGATGAAATACTGCCATTTGCAACAACATGGATGGACCTTGAGATAATCATGCCAAGCGAAATAAGCCAGACAGAAAAAGTTGAAAATCACATGATATCACTTATATGTGGGATATAAACCTAAAAGCAACAAAAGAACAGGACAAACAAACAGAGACTCAGGGACATGGACAATGGACTAGTGGTTACCAGAGGGGAGGGGGAAGGGGGAGGTGGGAGATTGAAAAGTAAATAAGTAAATAAAGGTAATAATTACTAATTTAAAATAAATAAATAAGCACTGAGTTAACAACTGAAAAAAATCTAAACCCTACATGCAACTTAAAATAAATCTTATTTTAATGTAAAAAAGAAACAATTTTAAAACTGAAACTACAAATTATAGAATTAATGGAAGTAAGAAATATTACAGGAAAACCTGGAAGTGGAAGCTAAAGTAAAACTCAGTAAAATTCAGCACTAATATTTTAATTATAAGAATACTAAAATTAAATTAGCACTTATTCAAATCTAGAAGCTAGGAAAAGAAAACCTAAAGGGAATAAAGATAAAAGCAGAAGCTTATTAGAGAGAATTAATTAATTCTATGAAAATAGAACTAATAAATAAAATCAAGACTCTTTTCTTTAAAATTAACAAAACCATGGCAAGTCTAATTAAGTAAAAGAAAAAAAGAGGACAACAAATCTAAGTATGAGAAGAAAAAGGGAAGTGAAACAGATATAAAAATAATTTTATAAGAGAGACTATTAGGCAGTTATTTGAAAAGGTTTTTAGCAGCCACAATTTCTAGGAAAATATATTTGGTAAATAAAAGCACATTTATTCAGCAATTATTATGAGCTGGACGATGTACTATTATATTCTTTCTCACTTACACCTTAATTACTTTTAAAATAGATATTGTTTGTAAATTAATTTACAGATGAAGAATCTAGGCAAGTTGAAAAGACAGTTAATGAAGAGGCAAGATTTATTACTTGAATCCTGTCCTTGGACAACAATGTGTGCTTGTATCCGCTTGGTTACACTGCTATGGAGAAAGGATTAGCTTGGGAGTTGGAGGCATTATTACAGGCAAAATGGGTCCACGAGGCACTAATGAGGCTAACACAAAGCTCACTGAGATGATGAAATAAGGTACATGGGAAAATAGCCAATGGCAGGCCAGGAAAAAGTATATTCTAGAGTTGTACTTGGAAATGTAGTATCCACAAGTGAATAAGTGGTATGAAATAAAATGTAAGAATCACAGAAGAAACAAAATGACACTTCAAAGGTTATCAATTCTGTTATTTAAGGTGTCCAAATCAGAGCTAATTTAGTCCTAATTTTTTTTCTTTAGTTTTAAAACTCAAGAAATATCTAGGTGCATTTCTTGTAGGAGCACACTGTGAGGCATCGCCATATTAAAAGCATAACATTAAAGAACAATCTCAAACCAAAGAAGAAGGGTGAAATTAAATCCCACAATAATCTCTGTAATGGCCTGTAATCTCTGTAATATATTAAGTTTTAAAACTTAAAATAACTTTCAGTTATCTGTTAAGTGTATTCAGAGAATAGAATATACCCTATTGATACAAGGTAAATGGGATGTAAATAACTTTTATAGTACCTTTGATTTGGATTTTCCATTCTCTCTTGAGGAAGACATATCTTTGATTGCTTCTGGTGGCATATAATTAACTGTACCAACCTGTTTGCCAAATCACAGAAAACACAAATCAATGAAAATACCTCATTCTGCTTTAGATTTGTAAAAACACAAATGCCAGAGTCTTGGAAACTTAGGTAATTACAGATTTCAGTAATATATCTGAAAAACTCAAACAACAGCAATATTAAGACATAAATTTCTTCATAACTCCAGCAAAATAAATTGGGCTCATAATCAGCAAAGTGGCTCCTTTCAGAACGCTGAGTTTTTTCTGTGGTTATGGTAGGCAACTACCGTAAAACTGTCCAGGCTAGAATTATATTAACAGAAATAAATTATGAAAGAATCGATCAATCACTCATTCCTGTGTTGGAATAGACTCACAATGCTTTTTAAAAATCAACCAGCCAACCAACAATCTACCTTTTCTCCAAATACTCCCTGAGCCCATATCTGAACTGAGATGGGATGCAAGTTTTCACAGTAGGATGATGCCAATTTTAAATGCATTATTTTATTCTAAAATTCAGCTGAGTACACTATTTATTATAGTGCTTTGAATATGAAAGCCTACTTAAGAATTTTTTTTTTCCTAAATGTAACTGATAGGAAAAGCCTTACTTCTCTGGAAGAGTGAAATAATCTTACCTCATGAACAATGCAAAACATGTAACTGCAATTCCTTCTTTGGCTGCTACTGGAAAACTCTGAGACCAAGTTTTGGGTGAATTTTAGATAATGAATGACCAAGATGATTTCCAAGATAGGTATTACCGCTTCTCTAACTCAGCTATAGAACAATCATTCAAAATTGCTGGATATATTTCTACTGGATCTTGACTATACAAATTTGTATTAGTCATGGTTTTGATTTGTTTTTGTAGTTAAAGTACCCATTCTTATAAAAAAGGTTCGAGTCATTTAATGAGGTAGGTGAAGATAAAATCCCCATTAGCAAAATAATACTTCACAGGTTAAAAGAAATTAAATTCTACTGTGTGGTAAGCAACCATTCATTAAGTCTCACCTGAGAGTCTTTAACAATACTTGTTGTATCTGGTTGCATTTGGTTTGCGATACCAAAATCAATTAGCTTTAGCATTCCATCAACTATCAGAAAGTTAGCAGGTTTCAGATCACTGTGAACAATTCCTTCAAAATAAAAATCCATTATAATGTTAGACAATGTAAAACATTGTAAGTACAAAAAAATTCACAATCTACTGGCCAAACGGATTCCTTTAATTAGTCAATCAAATTAAATATTCATTTTTAATACAGTCTACAAACATATAGCACCTGCTATGTGCCAGGCACTATTCTAAGTTTGTTGCTTGTATTGAATCATTTAATCCTTATACCAATGTTAGGGTAAGTACTATTATCCCCATTTTTAGGTGAGGTACTAAGGCAAAGATTTTAAGTCATTTTTTCAGTGTCACAGGGCCTAGGTGACAGTGCCATGAGATGAACCCAAGCAGCTGGCTTCAGAGTTTATACTTAACCACTGTAATTCGCCACCCATTAGAGAGCATTGTAAATTACACTGTCAGATGGTGAGCCCCTCATGTTCCTGACACCTCCATCCCTATAGCCTTATCTTCATCACTGGTGAATTCTTTCAACTTATAAGAAGGGAGACATGAGGAGACAAATTACGATTATCCAGGTTAATAGTTATTAAAAAGGATAAAACAAAGGTAGAGAAGCCTAAAAAGAACCAAGTCCAAGTAAAGTAAAAAACCAAGCCAAAAGATAAGGCTAACAGTTAAAAAATAAATAAATAAAAATAAAAACCAACTCTCACACAAGGCACTTCATATAAAAAAACTAGAATGAGTGAAATATCTTAGATTTTTAGGATGCCTGAACCCCAAAGTCTCAGATCTGCTATACTCCAAGTATTCGAAGATTTAGGATTATGAGACTGCATTAATATTGATAAAGATACATTTTGTATTTACGGATGTGGAACTTGTGTTCATGCTCTATCTTCTCTGGTTAACAGTGCTTTAAAGAAATGATTTTGTCTCTTCATCTTTAAATAAATTTTCAAATATTTAGTTTATTTAGTCTAAAGGTGACAATAACCAATATCTTAAAATTGTAGGTATATTTCTCTAAGATGACACTATTAATGAATATTTTAACTTTACATAATAGAGATTTTAAAATACCATGTTGATGAATTGTGTAAACTGCCTCCAACATATTTTTCCAGTAACTCTTGCGTTCCCATGGATTAACGGATTTTTTCTTCTTAAGCCAACTATTAAGATCAATATTTCCACACTCCATTACCATGTAGATGTACTGGTCTGTGATTTCACTACCATTAAAAACAAATAAAAACAACAAAACAATAAATGGTTAGGTTATACTATTAAGACTTATTAGGTATTTATCAGAAGAATTATACCTCCAAAAGTTTTCTTTTAAATTAAAAAAAAAAAAGTCTTACTAATCATAAAGTCGAATGATCTTATCACTGTGTTGTTGTAGTTTATTCAAATAAGCGATTTCATTCCTGTAACTATCAATTGTTTGATTATCTGCTTCTTCTAAGTTCACATACTTTATAGCATGTATCTGTTTCTTTTCATTCAATACCTGAAATACCTATATAGTAGAACAAAGGGAAAAGTTTAGAATTGTATTAACACAATACTAAATTTATTAAGACAGGTTAAGGAATACTGATATGAATAATTAAAAATGTCTGGGCTTATTTTGAGTATAGAAGAAAAAAACATTTTAGGAGAGTAAGTAGTACATTCTCAGCTACCTATGACAATGGGCTTTCAGTAACTCAAAGGCATAAACCCTAAGTCTCTATATCAATATATGAGAAAGATAATATAAATTTCATATATGTTCTGCTGGGAAATTACCTAAAGAAAAAGACATTCTATCTAGGGAAATAGCCTAAAGAAAAAGACATTCAGAAATCTTAAGGAAGACTAAAGGCTGTAATAAACAGTCAATTTATTTCAGTTAGTGTTTTTCCCATTGTGCCTGAAGTTGACAATTTCATTCATGTGGTAAACAGAGAATACTTAAAAATATGTACTAATTGTAAGCTATCAGTATACTTAGTTGTGAATAGTAGATTAGGTCTAATTTTCAACGTCAATTTTATAGGAACCAGATCCTGTAAGCACGTCGTCAGATTTCTAAGATCCAGGTCAAATTACTGCAGCTATAATGACAGCCAACTTCTAAGCAATACTAATGGAGATTATACATTTTGAAAAGTATAAGACACCGCTAATGTGTCTAATCTTCAGCAAAAAAGCAAAAGGGATGGGGCAAGAATTCAAACACAAAATGCCAGTGTAAGCAAGGAAAATTAGACTCATTTATCTCTTTAACATGTTGAAGTAAACATCATTTATTTAAAAGTCATTTAACCTTGACAACCCGGCAGATGCTGGCAAAAAATGAGAAAAATGCTCGTATATATCAGGTTCATGCACTGCAACTGCACTAATAAGGAGAACCTATTAGGTTGTCAAGTACAGCTTAGTTACTTTAAAAATTTTAAACACAAAACAAAGTATTACTAGGTTTATTTACACACATAGCAAATTAAAGGGGGGAGGGGCATAAAACAATGATAGGTCAAGAGTCAGTGGAAAATAGCAAGGAAATAGATAAAAATAATTTTAAAATAGCATTCTGTATAAGGTAAACAGCCTTACAAATCTCAAAGAATTGAGATATCTACCATTCTGTTTTAACACAATAAATATGTCGTTAGTACCTACCATACAGGTTTGGAAGGATGACTGAGATGATGTGTTCGGAGTGTAGCAAATGTTAGTTACCACCATTAAAGACAATTAGGACAGAATAAAGTGGACATTTAAAAACAGATTTAAGTTGTCAGGTATATCAGAAAGATCTGCAGGATATTAAAACTATATAATAAGATATCAAAAAATTTGAACAAATGAAACTTTTAAATCAACTTTTTGCATTTGTATGCTTTTACTCTCCTATTACCTCTGCTCTGACAAAACTCTTGTTATAATAACTGATGAGGTAGATTAGGTAGCCCTTATTTCCATTTCACACAGAAAGTGTCAGTTATAATTTGTCAGTTTTTATGAGAAGTTAATAAAAGAACTACTAAGGCCGGTGGCTTGGCCATCCTATGAATGCCCCATGACCTTTCTAAACGCTCTTAACACAGCGTAAGTTGGTCACTGCCTACTCTCTAGAAAGAAAATAAACAGTGTTAGTTCCATAAAGTATGTTTTTTTCCCCCAAGGCATGTTGATTTTTCCAACTCCATCATAACTGAATTAAATAACAATAATTTAATCACATTAAGAAAGTATGAGCTGGTCATGGCTTTATTGCTTGGCCCTTGACTTAAATAAGATTATGCTCTTATAAATCTTTATTATACTCCAAAGAAAAAATATCTAAACACTGTTAAAATTATTCTACATTCTCTGAAGATAAGCCACTAAATAAATACCTTTCCTTGACACTATTAAAATATAGCTAAATAACTAATAATAAATATTAACCAAATAATTTCTATTAAAGCAACTAAATCAGGTAATTCAAATATATTGATAAAAATCAGTTGCATTATCCCTTTATCGCCATGCCTAAAATTTGAGGCAAAGGAAAGAATAAAGGAAATGCATACAGAAAAGAAACTAATATTATTGAAAACTTGCTATTTATGGTATTGTACGTACCTTATTCATAATTAGTTAACAAGATAGTCTTAGCTGGCTTAGAAAATTAACAGTAAAATTTAAAATAAACCTAACAGGCTTCATTTCATATCTCATCCTTAACTTATAACAGCAAAAGAGCTGAGGAGAAACAGTTCATTCATTCAACAAATACTTTAGTCTCCCTTATGTTTTAGACACTAGTACAGATTAACAGAACAAATATCACTGAGCAAATCAGACAAACATCCATATGATGATGGAACCTGTATTCAATCGAGGGGGATATAAGCAACAAACCAAGTAAGTAAATTACAGAGCATGTTAGAAGATGAGCTACAGAGAAAAAGCAGGAGAGGGGAATGGAGCTCATGAGTGATGGGAAGTGGGAGATACGGTTTTAAAGAGAGTGAGGAAGGACTGATTGAGAAGACACTTGAGCAAATACATGAGGATATGTGGAGGAAAACTGACTAATGTTAAAATCGACCAGGAGAATAAGGACTAAGTCAATGAGACTGGTTAAAAGGCTATTGTAATAATCCAGATGAAAAGATGGTAGTTGCCTGGGCCAAAGTGATAATAGTGGAGGTGGTAAGAAATAGTCAGATTCTGGATATACTTTGAGGTAGAACCAACAAGATTTGCTGATTGGCTGGATATATGTGTGAGAATAAGTAGACTCAATGATGACTACATGTTTTTGGCCCAGCAATTGGAAGAATGAAGTTGCAGTTTACTAAAATGGGAAAGCCTATGGAGCGAGAGTTATCTTTGGAACATATTAAGATTTAAATATCTAGCAGACGCCTGAGAAGAGATGCTGAGCAGTCAAAGTGGACATACGAGTCTGAAATTCAAGGGAAAGGTCTGAGCTGGAAATATGTCTAGGAATTGTCAGCATATATCTAGTATCTAAAACCATGAGTTGAATAAGAACACTAAGAGAACGAGTTAAGAGAGAGAAGAGCTCAAAGACTGAGCTGAGGCACTGCACCATTGAGATCAGGGACATGAGGAAGACTGAAAAGAACAACTAGTTGCAGAGGAGGAAAACTGAGACATGTTACGTGGAAAAAGAAAGTTTCCGTGAGAAAAGAATAATCAACTATCCCGAATGCCAAGTAACCCAAAATCAAAGCTAAGAATCAGATTTGGCAAAAATGTGGAGCTTATTAGTAATCTTGATAATTATTTTAGTGAGTGATGAAGGTAAAAAATCTGACAAGTGGATTTAAGTGAAGATAATGAGAAGAACTGATGATAGTAAGTTTAGAGAACTCTTTTGAGATGCCTTTCACTCACAGAATTAGAACCATATAAAATCAGAACTCATATAAATTTAGGAAACGATCTATTCTAATTCCAGAAATTCATGTTACTAAACTGTTTTTGAAATGAAAAACTCAAAACATAATCCGTTAGTCAAAAAACTTGCTGATTAGTCATATTAAACAACCTAAGTATATTATTTATATCATGATCCTGACTTTCAGAAAGATTTTTTTGTGATAATAACATAGCTGTCATTTGCCACCCTTAAGTCAAAGTTAATGTTATTTAGAGAAGAAATTAGGAAAAAGGACATTAAGAGGGAAGAACAGGGAATTGGAATTAAGAGATGGGCCTAAGAGATACATCATTATCGGGGAGAGGAAATGGAGCAGGGGCTGAGAAGGATTTTTTTGGTTGAAGGGCAATATAGCTCCCTAAAAGTTAAGAAAGAGACCAAAAAGGTAAAAAGACAAAGAAAGTTAAGTTTAAGATATTTTCATTTGTTTCTTAAATATTTAAGATACTTACCTTACTTGAACCTCCACTTCCTATCTGCTTCAAAATGGAATAAATTCTTCCTTTCACTGAAATGCATTCGTTTGAAGAGGATGCTGAAATCTAAATAATTAAGACAAAAAAGATTCAAAGGGTCAAATAATATGCCTGAGAAACTAGCTTACATTTAATATCATGAAATACTTCCAACTTTGAAATCATCTTAAATTTTAGTTAGATATTAGTCACAATTATTTTAAAAAGGGAATTTACATACTTTAGTCAAAGAAATAAACTTATTAAATTAATATACAGACAAACATCTAAGGTCTTCCCCTCTAACTTGCCTTTACTTAACCTAAATACATAAATAGAAGAATTGGGGCTGGGGGGTTAATAACCAACATATAAATTCTTAAGCTATCACTTTTCATCTTTATCTTTTTCTTACACAAACCTCTTTACTTGCATATTTATATATATATAACACACAAATTTTCTCATTTAGCATTACATTATAGAAAAACAGTGAGCTAAGGTTCTAAGAGCTCCAGAGTCAACTCGACAAATGCAAATTTCAGCCATGCTCCCTTTCTGCTGGGTGATGTTCAACAAGTTACTTAATTTGAACCATAGCATTTCCTCAGCAGACTTTCAACTGATCTACTATATGTTCCCTTTCTTCCCTTCCCTTATGCTAGAGCTCTCTGTGGACCTATAAAAGCTTTGAACAGATGGAATGGAATGAGAGGACTTATTCTGAGCTGACAAGGAAGGTGAAAACACAAAGAGCACCTGATTAGCCTGATTAACCAAGCTGAAACAAGATCTGAATAAATCTCAGTTCTATTTTTTTTAATTGTGGTAAAATATATATAACATGAAATTTACCATTTTAACCATGTTTAAGTATACAATGCAGTGGCATCAAGTACGTTCACATTGTTGTGTAACCATTACCACCATCCATCTCCAGAACTTTTCATTATCTTATATTGAAACTATATCTAGTAATATTAACTCCCCATTCCTCCCTCCCTCTAGCCCCTGGTAACCACTGTTCTACTTTCTGTTATCTAACTTTCTTATCTCTTGATTTGTTTAATTAATTACTTATGGGTTATTTTTTTCTTGCTGTTTTGTTATTTAAATAATAATTGCTGCTATTTTTATTATTTACTAAGTACCAGGTTCTGTTTTAAGATACATATATGTGTGTGTGTAACATATGTTTATATATCATACAGCTGGTAAGGAGTGAGGCCAAGATTCATGGCCAGGCACCTCCCTTCAAAGCCCATCCTTTCTATCAGTATTAAGCTGTCTCTCAGATAGTTATTAGAAACTAATTTTAGTATTTATGTCAGGAGAGTGTCTAAATTAACTTTTCTACAGATGGCAATGCAATCGCCTCACCAGTAAAAAAAATTCGTTTATAATTTTTAAGTGTTATAGTATATTCTAGTAACATCTCATCTTGCTATTCTGATTTTTTACAAAAATTTACCTGTTTATTCAGCAGCCAATGAAATGAGGCTGCTCATTAACAGCTGGCTTAATTAGTTAAATGAAATAAAAAGTAACCTTGATTACAAAAGAAGTTTTATCTAGCTATTCAAACTGGGTCCTCTGGCCCAGTTATTGAAAAAAACTTCATTAGCTTCTTTAATAACTAACCTGTCAAAGTCAAGAGGTACCCTTATCAGAAAAGAGTTTTGCTTAATGGAACTAAGAATTGACAAGTTCTTAAGACTTTTCCTAACAACTAGATACTGTAATAATAAAGCCTTTGAAATTGATCATACCTTAACACGTACTATCATAGATAAAGCTTATCAAACCTGTAAATTTTGAAGTGGAGTAACAGGTATTTGCTGCTGTTGCTGCTGGAAATAGGCAGGTTGGTTATAAGGTGTTGACAACTGACAAGCAGGTGGAAAGTCATTCTTTACAACTGGAGTTCTAAAACTAGGAAAGATAGTTTTTTAATTTAAAACATTAAAAAATTTAAAAACAAGAGTCTAAGTTAGTTTTTGTGTGATTTTAAAAGATGGACATAAACTTAAATCTGTCACGTTAAACAGAACCCAAGCCAGTTTTCATAATACAGCTGAATTATTTATCCTAGATACACCAACACAAGAAATTTGTTTTGGGGAAATTCTTTCTGAAAGTAATTTTTGTTCCCAGACCTCCCACCCCCTCAAAAAAAGATCCTTATTTAAAAAAAAATCAGATGGCATTTGAAATATGAAGTTGGGGTTATTTTATAAGAACTTATCCAAGGCAAAGGTCAGCCCTATGGCTGATCACAGGTTTTAAGAGTGCTTTCTAACAATAATGTTCTACAGCAGCCTGCCAGAGATATCTGAACGCCAAATTACATCAGGGAACTTAGTCTTTGAGCTAAATGCCGTTCAGTTCACATTTATGCTTTTGCTTGTCTTATTTACTATTGTCTCCTCAGTACCTAGAATGGTGCTTGGCACAAAGTAGTTCTACAAATATTTGTTGACAAAAAGTACGCTAATTTCACAAGAAATAACTGCATTATTATTGTAGTTAGCAATCATTCTTTAAAACATTCTAAGTATAATAAAATGAGGTAATATATAGTAGGTAGGAGACTAGGTTATAAAATTTCTAAGACCATTTCTAATTAACATCAAAGATTACATTATGAAAATGAAAAGCAAAAGACATCATGGATTTAAGTTATCCTCTAAGACGTTAAAAAATATATTAAAATATAGCCACTAGTTAAAGAATATGATGTGTCACATCCATTATTTCCTTTCTTTGAATATCATTAATTTACATTCGCACCATCCCTTGTTTCCTATTAGCACCAACCATCCAATTCCTTTACTCATCCCTCATTCCCATCCATTCATCTTATACCTCTGAACATCCCCAGAACTGTCACCTGTAAACAATCTCTCAGAAACTATCATATTTCAATTAATACCTCATTTGCTATAAAACGTATCTACCCTTTAGCTCTAAGAATGTAACCTTAAAATCTCTCCCAATTACAGAGAAGTATCAAAGTTGCAATGCATGATTATCAAGAAGTTTTGCATACTCAGAGTATTGAGGTTGTAGGTACAGATTACAATATAACAGAGACTTTCACAACAGTCCTTAAAAATATATTGCAGCCACCTTCTGCTCCCCTTTTACAGATGAGAAGAATAGTATGAATTCAAAAAACTTTTAAAGGATTCAACTCGAGATCTATTTGGCCCCAAAGCTCATGTTATTTCTATTACACAAAGTTAAGAGCCATAAGTAATTACCAGCTCATGTAATCTTCCAAGGCTCTGCTGCTGGGTGTCTTACAAACGGATTTTTGGTCAGTCTTTTTAGGTATTGATATTGGCGGTGACTGCTTGGAAACTAAAGAAGCAGGTTGATCAAAAGTGGTTTGTTTCTGCTAAAACAAAACAAAAATATCACTTCTAAAACAAATAATAAAAATATGAAATACAAAGCATGCTAAAATAAGTAGACATATGTATTCCAGACTTTCAATAACTTTTTGATATTGCTCTTTCTAAATTCTAAAGCCTGTTATATTCTGCTCAAAGGGATTACAAGTAGAAGGAAAGCACACAGTATTGTTTAACAAAACAGGATCTAATGTCCTCGCCCTTCAGGTCTATTGTAACCAGTATTGAATTTTTATAAACTAAATAAATACCCTGTGCTTCTAAAAACTAGTCTTTGAACAATAAAATCACATTCTCCACTTATATGTTTATGGGGAAAATGGCCAAATATTAATTAGTTAGCATAATTTGAAATAGCAAATACCTACCTAGTGTTCTTCATAAGAGACATAATGTTTGTAGAATTTATCTCATACAAATTCCAAAGCACTGATGAACATCCTCCACAGGAAGGATAGGTAAATTACAAAGTGCAGGCTGAATCTGGCCTGCCACCAGTTTTTGTAAATAAAATTTTACTGGGACACAGCTATGCTCATTTGTTTACATACTGTCATATGGCTGTTTTCATGCTATAATGGCAGAGCTGAGTAACTGCAACAGTGACCATCTGGTCTGTAAAGCCTACTAACCTTTTACAGAAGACTTTGCCAACGCCTGTTCTACAGCCTCTCAACCAAATACAGAACCAAATTTTGTCTGAATGGTATTAGTAACTGAGCACTCACTACTGTCTAAGGAGGTTCATTTCAACTTGGGTACAGCTTTAGTTATCAGAAAGGATTCGTAGATGTTTAGATTAAGTCAGTTTCTCTATTATAATTTTAACCCCCTGGTCCATGTTATGCTCTTGAGAACCACAATGGATAAATCCCTTCTACTTCTTACATTTTTGTCCTTCAAGTTTTTGAAGATAGCTAGCATGACTGTTATTGTCTCTTTTCCTAGATAAATTTTCTATTTAATTTAAGATTTCCTCATCTATATTTGGTCAGAATGGTATTGAGAAACTGTCGTAGTAAGATTATTCAGCAAGGAAAGTGGAAATATTGTAGTCATAGAGTGAGATGTTTGCATTTGAGATTCTAAAGATCAGAATTAAGGATATAGGAATGGGCAGCTAAGTTGAAATTAAGGAAATGGTTATGAAGGAGAAAGAAGTTATGAATTTGGAGGCTAGGTGTAGGACTAGCAATACATAGGGGTATAGAAGCCATGAAAAAAAGATGATAGCTGTTGGTTTGAAGTAAATTGAAGTGATTCAGAGCCTAATAATATCTTGAAGGAATGATGGGGAGTCATTAGATGTTTAGAGATGATAGCAATGAGCAAGAAACAGGATGGTATATTCAGAAAGCAGAAGCTTCAAAAGGGCAGGGCTTTTGCAAGAGAAGAAATGGTCTGGACATGGCAACAAGAAGCATAGCTGTAATGCAAGCAAGATGTGAGACAAAAACAACCTCCACTTGAGAGGGCTGCTGGAGAGAGCAACTCCAAGAAACTGCCTAATCTCTTTATACCATTCAATGGTTTTTGGTATATTCACAAGAGTGTGTGATCATCACTATTTAATTACAGACTATTTTCATCATCCTAAGGAGAAACTCCACATCTGTTTCCACTCACCTCCATTCTCCACTCCTCCCAGTCTTAGTGGCAACCACTAATCTTTCTTTCTACGGATTTGCCTATTTTGGACATTTCTTATAAATAGAATCACATAATATATGGCCTTTTGTGATAGGCCCCATATTGTTTTCAAGATTTATCTATCTTATATAGCACTTATCAGTACTTTACTATGTTTTATTGTTGAATAATAAAATAATAAAATTAAAAGGACCACATTTTGTTTAACTAACTGATGGATATTTGGGTTATTTCCACTTTTTGGCAATTATGAATAGCTGCTATGAACATTTATATGCAAGCTTTTCTGTGGATATATGTTTTCAGTTTTCTATATACCTAGGAATTGCTGGATCATATGGTGACTCTGTTTAACCTTTTGAGGAACTGCCATTCCATTTTTTACATATCTTACACCATTTTACATTCTCATCACCAGTGTGTGAGGGTTTCATTTCTTCACCAACACACTGTCACTTTTTAATCACAGCTGTCTTAGTGGATATGGAGTAGTATCTCACTGTAGTTTTGAGTTACATTTCCCTAATGACAAATAAATGGTTTTAAATTCCCTTACCATGTTACTGAATTACAAGATTCAAAAGGAAAAAAGAGATGCTGTTTAATATGATCCATGATTCAACATGTCAGGATTCATCTCCTTTAATATTTGTTATCTACTTCATTACTTAAAACGGTGGTTCCCAAAGAGTAATCCAGGTAAAGCAAAGAAAGGGTGGTCTCCAAGACCTTTTTAGGAGATCTGAGGGGTTAAAACTATTTTCTTAGTCATACTAAGGCATTATTTGTCTTTTTCACTTTCATTGTTTTTTGAGTATATACTGAAGTTTTCTGAGGCTACAAGGTATATGATAATAAAACAGACTGAATGCAAAAGGAGGTACAAGAAATAGTCTTCTGGTAAGCCAACCATTAAATAAATTGTACAACAATGCCACTCTCCTCTCACTACAATTATCTTGTTTTGAAAAATACTTATTTTTCAGAGAGAATGTAACTCAGCATAATAAAGGTCATATATGACAAGCCCAGATAACATCATACTCAATGGTGAAAAGCCGAAAGCTTTTCCTCTGAGATCAGTAATAAGATAAGAATGCCCACTCTTGCCACGTACATTCAACATAGTATTGGAAGTCCCAGCCAGAGCAATTAGGTAAGAAATAAAGGCATTCGAATTGGAAAGAAAAAAGTAAAACTGTCCCTATTTGCAGATGACATAATATTATATATAGAAAATCCTAAAGACTACACCAAAAGACTGTTAGAACTAACAAATTCAGTAAAGTTACAAGATACGAAATCGACATGCAAAAATCTGTTGCATTTCTACATTTTAATAATGAACTACCAAAAATTCACAAAACAATTCCATTCATGATTACATCAAAAAGAATAAAATACTTAGAAATAAATTTAACCAAGCAAGTGAAAAACCTGTACACTAAAAACTGTAGACATTTATGAGAAAAATTAAAGATGATGTAAATAAATAGAAAGATATTCCATTCTCATTGATTGGAAATATAAATATTGTTAAAATGTCCATAATACCCAAAGCAATCTACACATTCAATGCAATCCCTATCAACATTCCAATGGCAATGGTATTTTTCACAAAAATATAACAATCCTAAAATTTGTATAAAACTACAAAAGACCTTGAATAGCCAAAACAATCTTAGGAAAGAAGAACAAAGCCTAAAGTATCACTTCTCTGATTTCAAACTATTTTATAAAGCTATAATAATCAAAACAGCATGGTACTGGCATTAAAACAGACACATAGATCAAGGGAACACAATAGAGAGTACAGAAATAAACCCACAAATACAAGGTCAAGTAATTTATGACAAAGGAGACAATAATATGCAATAGGGAAAAGAGTATCTCTTCAATAAATGGTGCTGGAAAAATTGGACAACCACATGCAAAAGAATGAAACTAGACCACTATCTTATACCATGCAAAAAATTAACTCAAAATGGATCAAAGACGCATGTAAGACCTGAAATCATAAAACTCCTAGAAGAAAACATAGGTGGTAAGGTCCTTTACGTAGGTCTTGGTGATGATTTTTTGGACCTGACACCAAAAGCAAAGACAAGAAAAACAATAAACAAGTGGGACTATCTCAAAGTAAAAAACTTATGCATAGCAAAGAAAATCATCAATAAAATGAAAAGGTAACTTATTGAATGGGAGAAAATATTCGCAAATTATGTATCTGATAAGGAGTTAATATCCAAAAATATATTAAAAATTCACATAACTCAATAACAAAAACAACAATAAGAAAAAGAATCTGAATAAACAATGGGCAGAAAATCTGAACAGACATTTTTCCAAAGAAGACATACAGATAGATATATGAAAAGATGCTTAACATCACTAATCATTATGGAAAAGCCAATCAAACCACAATGAGGTATCATCTTACACCTGCTAGAATAACTATTCTCAAAAAGACAAGAAATAACAAATGCTGGCAAAGATATGGAGAAAAGGGAACACTTGTGCACGGTTAATAGGAATGTAAACTGATGCAGTCACTATAAAAACAGTATAGATGTTCTTCAAAAAATTAAAAACAGAATTACCATATGACACAGCACTTCCACTTCAGGGTACTTATCAGAAGAAAATGAAAATACTAACTCAAAAGATATATACACCTTCCCTCAAGTTAACTGCAGCATTATTTATAATAGTCAAGATATGGAGACAACCTAAGTATCTAGTGATGGATGAATGAAGAAAATGTGATGTGATACACACACACAGGAGTATTATTCAGCCTAAAGAATGAAATCTTGCCCTTTGCAAAAACATGAATGGGCCCTGGGAGCATTATGCTAAGTGAAACACCCAGACAGAGAAAGATAAATACTGCATAGTATCACTTGTATGTAAAATCATTAAAAAAAGCTTACAGATTGTTGTTTGCCAGAGGTGGGATGGGGCCTTGAGGAGGTGGGGATGGGCACACAGGCCATGGTCAGAAGGGTGAAGGTAGTCAAAAGATACAAACTTCCAGGTATAAAATAAGTCATGGGGATATAATGCACAGCATGGTGACTATAGTAAATAACATTGTATTGCATATTTGAGAAAATTATTAAGAGAGTAGATCTTAAAGTTCTTATCACAAGACAAAAAAAAATGTGTAGCTAAGTATGGTGACAGATGTTAACTAGATTTATTGTGGTGATCATTTCACGATATATACAAATACCAAAACATTATGTTGTACACCTGAAACTAACGTTTTATGTCAATTATACTTCAATAAAAGAAAATACTTATTTTTCATAGAAGTGTATCTATGTTCACGTGTAATGGATTGTTTTTAATATATTAATAAGTGTTTTTAACATTTTTGGTTTTACTTTCTAATACAGTAAATAACGGTAAATATAACCTACGTGAACAAAAGCTCTTTAGGGGTCTTGATAATTAAGAGTATAAAAAGGAGTCCCAAGACCAAAATATTTTGAGAACCACTGAGTTAGATTATAACTGAAAAGAAAGTGAGGAAAGTATGTCCATGGATTGAAATAGGTATGATTCTCCAGGAGTCTACTAGATAATTCCTTCGGAAATGGCACCTAGCCACTGAGAATGATCATTCAAAATGCTATAAATTTACATACATTGTCTAGTCTATATTTTCTACTTTATCCATGAGGATGACAGGAGGAAACTGTCAAATGCTTTGGTTCACATTGCACTAGGTCAGGGATAAGCATATTTTCTGTAAAGGGCAAAACAGGAAACATATTAGGCTTTGTAGATCAGATTAGGTCTGTTGCGATTACTCAACTCCCCTGTTGACATTTAAAAAAAAATAAATGGGCACAGCTGCACAACAATAAAACGTATTTACAGACAGACTGGGAACCAGTTTGACCCATAGGCTGTAGTTTGCTGACCCCTGCCGCCAGTCAATAGCCATCTAGAAAAACCACTGAAAACAGAATTCAACTTGACATATACTCTTGTGAACATATGACTGTTACTGGTCATTGTTTTGTGAGTAATAATAATGTCCCTTAAGTAGACTATTCCACTAAATATGGTACATAAGGATTGAATAAAACAAAACATTTAACATGATCATCACATGAACAATGGCAATGTTCCACCTGAGGGAAAACAAAAGTTACCTCTGTATCAACTTTTCGGGTTATCTCTGGAATCTGCCACTGGTTTGAAGATGCAGCAGGATTCTGGTTTACACATTCTGACTTTCTCTTAGATTGCCATTGTTTCTGGTTACTTTCTGGAACCTTTGGCTCTTCATATTTAGTTTCTGAAATTGTTTTTGTTATTGTCATTAAAACACAAGAACATTTGATAATAACAATATTAAACCTAAACAATAGAACACATTGCAAACTGTATTAGCATTTGCTCTTAAAAACAGGAAACTAAAACCTTAAGCCAGTTGTTGACAATTTCCTTTTGCAAGTCAATTTTACAAAGCTGCAACACAGCCATCTTCCTAAATTGTTACCTAGACTTTTTTTTTTATCAGAGACCATTCTGAATTTAAATGCTTCTGGTCTTTACCAGAAAGCAAGTAAATAAATACTTTTAAAAATATACATATATATATATGTCATAAATTCTTACTAATAAAAAGAAGACAAGTCACAACTTTTCATAGACCTCGACTTTTTTACAAAAATTTTACCTTAAACTGGCCCACAATTTACTTTTTTAAGGGTCTCTAAACAATATATTTACTATTCTATGAATCTCAATGTTCCATTCCTATCATGACAATAGATACAAAAATCTTAAAATATTCGAAATTGATATACAAAAGGGATAACAAATTATGACCAAATTGTATATTCCTAAGTGCAGTTTGCTTAATATTTGAAAATCAATTTAATTTACCATAATAACAGAATAGAGAAAAAATATATATAATCAACTCAATAAACTGAAAAAAGCATTTGATAAAATTTAATACTCAACCACAAAAAAGCCAATGGTAATCTAGGTATAAAGCAGCAACTCTGTTTTTTATACTTGATAAAGAGTAGCTACAAAAATCTACAGAAATTATCATCTATGAGTAAAATATTGAAAGCTTCCCTCTGAAATATAGAATGAGACAAGAATGCCACCTTCAACCCTTCTATTCATCATTACATAGAAAGTTAAAAGGCTTGGAAGGAAACAAAATGTTATATTATTTTCAAACAACATGAGAAAATCCATAGGAAAATATTAGAATTATCAGTGAATTTAGCAATATCATTGTTTCTAAAATCAATAACTAAAAATCAGTTGCATTTTTACATATCAGCAACAAAGTAAAGGATAACAAACTTTTAAAGATCCTATTCATTATCATAGCATAAAAAGTATCAAATATTTAGGAATAACTCTAGCAAAAGATAAGCAAAATCTCTACACAGAAAACGATTCTCTCAATGTTTTAAAGACTACTTGAATATGCCGGGTTAGTGGGTTAGAAAACTTATCTGTTAAGATGTGAGCTTGTCCCATTAGATCTCAATCAAAATTTCATTAAAAAAACAAAAACAAAAACAGAATCTGATAGTTTCTAACATTTATGTGGAAATCCAAAGGCCTAGAATAGCTAATATTGCCTTGAAAAAGAGCAAAGTTAGAAGATTTACATAGATATGAAGAAACAAAGTTGGAAGATTTTTTGAAAACTGTAAAGACTTACTGTGGTAATTAAAACAGGACTGTATTGCACAGACACAAAGAACTCTGGAACAGAGAAGAATCTAAAACCAGACATCGCACACGATCACCTAACTTACAACAATTTAGTTATGGAAAAGAGGGTCTTTTCAATAAGTACTTCTGGATCAATTGGATATCATAAAGGAAAAAAGAAAAGAATCTTGACACTTGCTCTTAAATATATAAAAATATTAATTTCAGATAGAATATAAGTCTAAATGTGAAAAGTAAAATGACAAATCCTCTAAAATATATGAAAATATCTTTATGATCTTAGAGTAGAAAAAGATTTGTTTAAAGGAACTGAAAACACCACAAAAGAAAAGATTAATAAATTAAAATGCGTGAATTAAAAATTTCTTTTCATCAAGTCTTCACCACATAATGGGAGAAGTCACTTGCAATACATATATCCAACAAAAGATTTGTATCTAGATGATATAAATATGTCTTAAAAATCAATGAGAAACTGAAAGAAAATCCAATAGAAAAATTGATAAGAGATTCCAACAAGTACTTCACAAGAGAATACCCAAATGGCCAATAAACATACAAAAAAGATGTTCAACATCATTAGACATCAGGGAAATGCAAAGTAAAACCACAATGAGATTATCACTTAGCAGCATCAGAATGTCTAAGACTAAAACCCAATAATAAAACAACTGAGGAGACTATGGAGCAAGAGCAACATAACTTCTAGTAAAAAGTATAACCACTATGGAAAACCGTCTGGCACTACCCACTAAAGGTGAACATATGCACAGCCTGTGATCCAACAATCCATCCTCTGAATACACTCAGTAGAAATGCGCATGAATGAATTATTTCATAGGACTAAGCCAGTTATGATTTGGGCAGTTTTCTGGCACAAGCCTTCATTTAAAAACATAAAATTAGGTGTCAGATAAGTAGCACTAGCAAGCATATTTGGCAAAGATGATTTTTTAATCATACCTGTTTACAACAGATGTCATGAAAATATAAAATGTTTTCCCCAAATATTAGGATTAAGAATCTAATCCCAATCAAAATAATGGCAAAAAGACTTTTCTAGGGCGACTAACCATCCCAGTTTGCTAGGAACCGAGGGCTTTCCTGAGACATGGGACTTTCTGGGCTAAAACCAGGAAAGCCCAGGATAAAATAAAATGAGTCTGGGCAAGCCTTGTTTTGTCCCAGTACCCCTCCCTGAGTCCAATTAAAAGAAAAAATTACATCCAATCTGACAACTTTTGTTTGGACAATGATCATCCCAATTCATGATCCTGTTCAAAAATCTTTAATGGTACTCTGACGTCTAAAAGAACAAAAAATTTAAACCAGCCTTTCAATGTCTACCAAGTCTCATCTCCCATTTCTATACTACCTGTTATGGTTTTCAACATAACTAGACAGTTTTTTGTTTCTAAGATGTTTTATTCCTGTATGCTATTCCCTCCCCCTGAAATACTCTCGCTCCTATTCCTTCCTATTTAAACTCTAACAGTTCTTCATGTTTTTTACTCCTCTGCAAAGTATTACCTTATTTCCCCTATACCAAATTAGTTTCTCAAATTTCTCCTCCCTCTGAATTCTCATAACATTTTATTTATGCGGTTCTCATGACATTCTCTACATTCCACTCAACATTATATTTAGCAGTACATCTCCCACATGGGATGGCAACCTTCTTGGGGCCCTGGCTCATTCATTTATATATCCTTAAAACATTTATCATAGTACTCATATGGTGGAAAATCAAATGTTTGACACGAGATGAAAAGAATTGTCATGTAAATACAGCTTCGGTGCCTTTTCCAGAAAATATCTGTCAAGCCAATTGAGAAATATACTCAGCTCCATTGTACCTTCCCTCCACTATTCCTTTTATGCACTTTTTAAGCAAATAAACTTCCTTTGCTAAAAATTCAATACTTTTTATACACTCTATATAATTCAGTTGAAATACAAGATAAAGGGACACGGACACAGTCATATATTTCAAATCTTAGGTGGCTGGTTAGTATTCATAAGCAACAAAGTAGTTAATTAAAGTAAGTCTATCAATTTTGTCACTCTTACCTTCTAATTTTCTCAGAAGACTTGATTTCGTTTTACTCTTCACGGTTATTGAATCAGTAATAAGTTCAGAACTCTTCTCATCTGACACCAGAGGGTCTTTGGAATGGACACTTTGGACAGACTATATGAAAAGAATAAGATATCAAACAAAAGGCTCATAATAAACAGTAGTATTACTAATTTGTCTTAGTGTTCAATATACTAACATCTCATCTATGTGAAGATATTCCTAGGAAAATTATCTATTAAAATCACATGTAAACTCACAAACTCCAAAGATTAACCTCTTAAATTACTGATTAGAGCAATGAGAATGGCTATAACCATAAATCTGGCTATTTGGCTTTCAATGGGCATATTAATTAATTGCTAAAATGTTCACTAAAATAGCTGTGATTAGTTAAAATTATTATTTAAAGCAAAGACCACAAAAGAAAGGAATTATAAATTTGAAAAGACCCACATTGTGATGCTAGGGGTCTAACTCAAGTACAATAAGGCTAAAACTGTTTCCTGTCTTTGAAGTTCACATAAAGTTGTGCCATATCAGAACATCAGACTAAGCCCTCACTTCTGCCCATCACAATTTATTCTCTCATTTTTGTCTAAGATGCCCTTCCAGATGAGTAAGGACACTAAGAAACCATAGCTGTGGGGAATGGCTTTCCCAGCTATTCCCAAACCCAGGCCAACAAATCTGCTTAAACAAAGAATAGTGTTACTTCACTTATCCCAGATCCTTGCTCTACCATCTCAATCTTAGAGAAACAGTTTAGGACTTCTACACTACTTCCCATTAGTGGTCCTACATCTCTTAGGGGCTTCAGGAACACTGTTAAAAATATTGTATAAACTATGGATCCTTTCCACAGAAAAAGCTCCATGGACCCTGGATCAGGAACCCTTGCTCCATATAAAAACTTAGAAAGCAAAATACCTTTAAATTTCTCAATTCACAGGAATCGTTTCCACTTGATTTAGATCTAGGCACAATCATCTCCCGGCATTCTGATTTAGAGGTCTGTCTATTACCCACACAAAAAAATAATTTTAATGTTTAATCCAAAATTAATTTTTTCAATATATTACTTTTCCATTTTTAAAGTTGGCCTTTAACCAATATATACATTTTAATCGGGAAAATCTCTTGAAATGTTATTTTAAAAAACAACATGATTCTAGTACAAATGTTATTAAGTTAGGTGCTGAGCAATGACAAAATTGCTAAGAGATGAGTAGTAGGTGACTGCCTACTTCACTATGTAATAAGTAACATTTGGAATGAAGGTACAATTGTGGGAAAGAAGAAGGGAACAACAGTATGTAGGTGAAACTACACTTCGGCTTAAAGGTAAGAACTACACTATAAATATAAACCCTTCTGTGGACCTCCACAGTGCCTAGCATATTTGTATCATAACAAGCAAGAAAACGACTGGTTTGTTTTTGTTTTTATTTTCTTGGAGTGTGAGAAAGTCTCCTTTATTCCTCTACTAGGTATTTGAAACAAAGATAACAAGATAATAGTCATCTCATAACATTTTGGAGCTTAATCTTGACAATCAATTAATTTTTTAATATCAATATTTAGTCGAGCCCTAAGTATAAAAGGAATTTAACTATAGGAGAAACCAAGTAAAAACAATCAGTTGTATTTCTAAAGTTTACTCGCCTCAAAATAAATAAAGTTTACTTGCCACATGGTTCTCTGGAATGCAAGGAGACTATATAACATTTCTAATAGAAATGTTATATAGAAATGTTATATAGTGATTGAGTTAAGAATAGACCAGAAAAGCTCTTGTAGGTAACCAATAGAAATGTTATATAGCGATTAGAGTTAAGAATAGACCAGAAAAGCTCTTGTAGGTAAGCTAGAACACTAGATTCCCATTTCTTTTAAGGAAACAAACACCCAAGTTGAAGGAAAAACACACCGCATATGATAAAAAATATTTCATCTCTACCTATTCTGCTCACTTCTTGATGCCCTAGCCTCTGAAGCAAATGAATGAATTAATCATCTTCCCTACCAATAGCTGCTCTTTTCCTTGACCTAGCTGAAAAATAAATCATTCCCACATCCTTCTTTATCACTGCTGTGGAGACTTTTATATACACAGTGAAAAGAGACTCTTACCAGAGAGGCTATCCGTAAGTGGGAAATGTTAAAACAACAGGAGTTCGGGGAGGTTTGCATAGGTCTTTTAAGCTTCGGGTTGACTTAATACTTTTTCCTCCATGTTTCCTATTTTTTAAGTTCCTTTCATGAATATTTTTAATGAGTGAAAAAGCAAAATAAAGTAATATTCCCCACTCATTCCTTTGTCATTTAGAAACTTGGTAACTTTTAATACTAAATAAAAATTTCATCGTAAATTTATTATGCAGTAAAAGACTTTAAGACCATTCTGCCATCAATCTTTGAATACTCAAAACAAATTAAAAACTAAAACCCAACATACCTTTTTGCAAAACTTGGTACAAATGAACCATCAGTGTCCTCGTGACAATCCGGGCTATTTAGAAGGTTAACTGGGACTCTTCCAAATGGGCATGACTAAAAATGTTTTGAAAGATTAAGTAACCAACTAGGAAATAAACAAAGACCTCACCACTACCACCTTAACCAAAGTAGATTAAAACTAACTTACCCGTTTAACTTTGTGTGTTTGTTTTAAGGAATTTTGATGACTTATCTCTGCATCTTGAGGGGGCACATTCTCTCTAAACAGAAAAAAATACCCCCAATTTTTAAAAAGAATAATATTAATTTATGTATTTCCATTAACTACTAACCGCTGTTATCACTGTTACATAAAAATGTATATGTAAACATAAAATAACATAAAAGTATGATAAGCGTTTAAAGAACTGGTTCAGTTTCCTCACCCATACAAAAACCTGGCTTTTGTAGTCTGTCCTCTGGAATCACAACTGATATTTCTATTCTGTAAATGTCCAAGTGAATTGGGGAATGATTCTTGGGCAGTTAACACTGTAGATGCTGTAAAAATTGTGAAATTATAATTAAATTTGTAAAGACATAAGGAATACACAAAAAAGTAATCTCACAAACAATACTTAAAAAAGCCAATTCATAGATCTGTCCCTAAATAAGATATGCAGACATGAACACATTCTAAGATAATTCTCTCTAACCATACTTTATAATTGTTTCATATTACTTCACTGTTTCCCTAGAATAAACACACATGCCTTATTTCTAAAAGCAAAAAGTGATTCTCTTGCTTAGATTAAGTTGTTTTTAACATGACAATCAGTGAGTATAATCAACAAAAAAATATCCAACATGGTAGTAAAGACTTTATTACTTCTAAATGTCTCACTTCATTTAAATTTGAAATTTAAACTTAGATTTTTGACTATTCTACATAATATTATTTTTCTATAAAATATTACCCTGAATTTTTTTTCACAGGCTATTTACCACAGAAATGTATTAGCACACAATAATACATTTACCTGATAAACTCTTCTTTTCCTCCTCTGAAAGCAGCTGCTTTTTTTGCAGGTTTAAATTCTGAATGGCAATTTCCAGCATTTGCAGTGGTACTGCTCCACATTCTAGAGCTTTATGAAGAAGTTGTTTTGCTTTTTTGAAATTTCCTAACAAAGTAAAAATTAATTGTCATTTTAATGCAGCAATCTTCATTCTCCAGATACTTATTCATTAGGACTGGGGAAAAAAGTTTAAAAGCTTTAGGAAAAATATTTATTTCAGGGCTCTTGCGCGTTAAGTTATAAGCATAAAAGCAACCTCACTTCTAGTAAAAAATTCATGTCAAATAGTTTACTCATGTAATATATAATTATGCATTAGTGTATCACTATTTTCCATTTGCAGAAGTAAAAGAAGTATAACAAAACAGTTATGGAGTGAGGGCAGCAAAAGCTGATAAGAACACTTAGGACCTCAGGGAATTTAGTAAAAGGGAAAACTAAGCCCTAGATGTTATTAGTCCTGAGAGTGTCCATCTGTTACAATGCAGTACAATAACTATCATTCATAATGACATTTAGTCAATAAGAAAGGTTGTCATCTTTTGCTAAAGGGAATCCTCTATCAAAAGAATTCCTGTAAAAAAATATATATATATGATAAAGATTAACCTTTAGCTATCAGACTTGGCTACATCACCTCAAAAATGCAATATTAACTACCATAATTACCTTTCTCACTACAAATTACCAAATTTTATTTCAACTGTAAATGTACCCAATATATTTAGTATTTTGTTTATAAATACTAAATGTATGCATCATGCATCTCATAGAATATGTAAGCCACGTTTATGGGAGCCACTGAGCTATGCTATGCACTTGGCACTTAGGGTATAAAGATGATTAAGAGATGGCCTCTAGCTTCAGATAATTTACAGGTTTTAAGAATACAAATATATTTGATAGCAGTTAAGTCTACATTTATTGAGAATATTAGGACAGCAAAGAAAGAAAGAAAGGCTTAGATAAGAACTAGTAATTATGGAGCATATGGACCCATTTGAGAATCTGAAAAAAATCATGGAATGTCCTTTACTTCTACAAAAGTACACATACATACAAAACTGCTCATAAAATTTCAGGATGTTGCATATTTCCTGAAAGCCTATTCATCAACTCTGTTCAAAATAATCACAATTTTGACCTTGAGGCTACTACTACATTGTAGCGGTAGAGATAAAGTACATTTCTTTTTTACAGATCGCAATTTGAGATTTTCAATGATTATCTATTCTAACGATGTAAAAGTTTACAATTTCTATTGATAGACCATAATACCACAAAAATTTTTTTTAAGTAGAATGAAGGGAAGATAGAGAGGGTCCTAAAGTTCTGGACAAACTTAAAGAAGCAAAAATGGGCTTCCGCTGCCGCAGCCATTGGGTGGCTCTGCACTACCCAATGGCCAGGGGCCTGAACAAGGGTCACAAGGTGTCAAGAACGTGAGCAAGCTGAGGCACAGCTGCCACCGGTGTGCCTCATCAAGCACATGAAGTTCGTGCGGGACATGATCCGAGAGGTATGCGGCTTTGCCCCCTACAAGCGGAGCACCATGGAGCTGCTCAAGGTCTCCAAGGACAAGCGGGCCCTGAAGTTCATCAAGAAAAGGGTTGGGATACAATCAGTTACAAAAAGTGAGAGGAGCTGAGTAACGTCCTTGCGGCCATGAGGAAGGCGGCAGCCAAGAAGGGCTGACTCCCTTGCCCCCTGCAATAAAGCCTTTTCAGAACCAGGGGAGAAAAAAAGAAGCAAAAATGAGGAATTAATTTTCCTAGGCAGGAAAGGGATGATTTTTCAAAACATCACCTAATAGTGCACAAGACAGATCAGAGATGATTCAGGTAACTAAGACTCAGAAATCATCTAAACAAGTAAAAGTTCAAGGTTTTCAAACTATTTCCTGAGTTTGTACAATGCTTTTCTCCAGCCTTAATCCTGGAGAATACTCTTCTAGTAACTGAACTCTGCTTTGGGTGGGAATTCTGGTTGAGCCAAACCTATAGTGTACTGTGTGTACTTGGTGGTAAATGGGATCAGGGATGGAGCAGAAACAAGGCTGAGGCAAAATAGGAACACATGGCCAAAAGGGTAAACTGAGGGTGGATCCAGAGGCCCCAGAAAATGAGAAAAAGACTGTCCTGGCCCTATACAAAAAGTCCAGACAACAAAGAACAAGATGAGTGGGGAAAAAAAAAAAAAGAAAAGAAAAAAAGTTTTTGTATAAGTTTACTTTTTTTTTTAAAGGGAACTACCAGTTAATGCTACAATTATATTTTGATGTATATTTTGGTGCTACAAAACTGTAGCATAAGGAAAGCTTATCTAAGTGCTATTTTAAATATCTTATATAGTTCATCCCACGAATATCCAGTGAAGAAGCAATTTTCCTTAGACTTTTCCTGAATCTAAGCACAAACATGATGTTCATGCTAATTCTCTAGATTACTCTTTACAAGTGGAAGAGCTAGTATAACAAATAGTCTCTGCATTTACACTTAGGTAGAAGTCTTCCCCCACAGTCTTATCTGATCAACATATGACTTTTGCCTCAGTTTCCTACTTCATATATATAATTTAATATTAGGATATGAGTTACAACATAGTTATCTTTTACTTAAAATTTAGAGTTATCTTTTACTTAAAATTATAAAAGTAAAAGTTATCTTTTACTTAAAATTTAGACTTGATATTTCAAATTACCTTGTGACAGTTCAAATTGTGCAAAAGATATATGTACAAAAGCAAATTTCTTGCAGTTTGCTCTGGCCATCTGAAAATAGTCACGTGCATCATCTGGCTCTTGAATACTGTAATAAAGATTTCAGAGTCAACTTTTCAGAAAAAGTACAGAGCTACCTAAGTTTGATAATTCCTTATTCTATTTTCCAAAAGACATAGGGTATTGTTTTTTTTAGGTGTGTAAAATTAAATACCACTAAGTTATTTTTTAAAATCTTTTTTCAGTCAGTCAAGAATTAAGAAACTTTTGTGGAAACATGTACATTTTAAAGAGAACTTACATTACTCACTTGCTAATTATAAGAAAAAGGATTTGTTCAAAAAATATTAAATTTTTTACAAGTAATCCTGACCAAAATATTTTAATTTTATCTTTTTGTAACGTAGTTATGTGTTATGTAACATAGTTAAATGTAGTTAAAATGCTAATACTTACGCTTTTAATTCAGCAAATCTCACTTGAATTCGAGCAAAACTCTCATTTTGGCCATATTTATCTGGAGGAAGTGCTTCAATTGCTTGACTGTAACGACCAATCAATTTATTTAAAAGGGCATCATTTAGGGGGATACTGTTTTTCTCTAGCTTGAGCAACAAATTCAACCAGTCCTCTGGGTTGTTGGCCATCATCATAATTTGGTTAACAGTTCCCGAATTATCTGAATAAAGGGAAAAAGAGTATAAAAAAAAAGTAAGAAAAAAAGTATAAAAAAAGTAAGAAAAGACATAAAAACATTGAATTGCACTTTTCCTTCAAATTACAGTTATCAGTGTATACAATATCAATGTACACAAGCTCCTTAAAATACTTTTTAAAAATTTTAATAATTTTTATAAATATAAGCTTATTTAGTACATATATATCTTTTATGAGGGTATATTTTACTCCAAAAAAAAGCTATATATTTGGAAAGAAAAATTTGGAAATAAACTTTTTTATAAGTAGCTTTAAAAAACCATATACAGCCTAAGGAAATGTTATACTGTAGCACCATAATTCTATTTTAGTATCCTAACTACTGAAAGAAAACCTAAACCTCTCCCTCGACTATCAGTATTCATTAAAAACTTAGATACTTAATACCCCAGTCCTCTTGTAATCTTTTTTTATCCAACATTATCTCTACATATTTCAAACTTACTTTTAAACCAACCAAACAAAATCAGTTTACAAAAGATAAGCAACTGGTATGGTCATTTTTTTTTCTCCCTCCAAGTTACCTATATTTCTCCATAATTTTCACAATGTATTTATTTTTTACTTTCTTTAGTGTTAAATGCTTTAAAAAGACAACTTGAATTAATGTCAGTTTCCTGTTTATGATATTTTAGTCATTACTATTTTCGTCATTTCTCAGAGAAACTATCATTCCTTCCATCAGTTTCAGTTAGCCTAGACAGGGCTAAATCTTTATTTTTGCAAACAAAATTACTGTTTCTGCTTTCTACTAAAACGGAACATTCATAACTTTGTTTTTTTATATTAAATGTAATCTGGTCTGATCTTAACTTAATTTTCCATTCTCCCAATGCTTTCTTAACAAACTGGTCTGTGAGATGTCTAAAAAACACTGTCTTTGTAGATGTATTCCTCATGCCTCTGAATACCCCATTCTGCCTCTGTTCAACACTTAAAGCATTGTCTTTATTGATTTAGTATTCATTTGTTGCTGAACATATATTACATGTAGCATAATGGTTTCATAAATTCTTCTCATTTAGAAACCATGGTTTTAAGCATCTTTGAATCTTCCTCAATACTCGATCTGATGTCGTACATCCCAATTATCAATATATGTTAAGAATTTACACCTTTGAATGAGCTAAGGATTTAAAGAAGGACTCATCTACCTTGGTATACAAGCTTTCTTAGCATTATTTAAATACACATAATAAAGTATAGTGGTACTCTATTAAGATTTGCTTAACACCAACATGTCTTCCATTTATTTTCCATCCCTCATCCATTTAATCGTTAGTATACACATGACAAACTTATCCAAAGGTCACTTTTCAAATGACCCCAACAATATGGAATATAGTAAAGAATTAGGCTTCTGAGCTAATACTTTTTATAAAGGTTGGGTATTAAAATTTGGGCACTTTCGCTCATTAATCATTCAATAAATATTTAAGTGCCTACTATGTGCCAAGCACTTTGCTAAGTAGATATAACAAAACAGATTAAAAAACAGGCCCTCACAGAGCTCACATTCTAGTGGAGACAAACAATAAACACATTAATAAATCAGATATAAGGTGATTAGTACTATAGAGAAAAATAATAACAAGAAAGGGAGATTGGGGACACACTTTCACTCTAGCAGGTTGCTATTTTAAATAGGTGAGTTAGGGAAGGCCTCACTGAGATGATATTTGAGCATGGCTTGAAGAAAGTAAGAATGGGCAGCTATCTGGGGAGTGCTGTTCATGGCAGAGGGCAAGAGAAAAGGCACTGGGGTTGAGCTGGTCTAGCATATAAGAGAGACAGCAGGGAAGCTGCTAGGCTGGAACAGAGTGAGCAAAGAGAGTAGGAAAAAAAGGCCAAGAGAGTAATAGGAAGATTCTCCAAATCAGAAACTGAGTGTTTGACTTTAAATTTATACATAATTCTATTAAGATTGGTGAGGCTTTCGTAGTTTGCAGCAAAAAAGTAATAGAAAAAAAATAGTATATCTACTGATGACAGGCATCAGTAGAAATAACAGCAGACAATAATTGAAGAGTTAAGAAAACTACCAAGTGCACTGTAATAAATGGTAAGTTTCCATTTTTCAGAAAGCAGAAAATTGTGGTAATAAAAGAGTTAAAATATAAAGTATGTGTACAGTACTCTAAATGGTGAGCATCAATTACTGACAAAATTATATTATGTGAACACACAGTGGTTAACATTTTATTCCTTTTCCTTAAAGGGCACTCAAAAAGGAAAAACTCACCTGTAGTATCAGCAGAGACTTTATTCAAGCTTAGCTCATCAGTAAGGTCTTCATTTTTAAATTTATTTTTAAAATCTCTCACTTTGTTGATTATTGAATCAATTGTCAATTCTCTGCCACTTAAATCCTCAGCCTCCATTTCTAAGAAAAAAAAATGGAACTAGTCACAATTTCTATTTTTACTAGCATTAAAAAAAAAGTTGCAGCTAGCCTTTTAGAACCAGAAGTCTAAAGCATTAGCTATGTGAACACATCTTAACAAAGCTATATGAAGGCAGTATTTGTGAAGCCTTGTGCATGAAAACTGTGCATATCTGAAATTTGGCCATCAAAGTTTTCGATAGGCTAAGAATGTTTTCTTTCCAACAGAACTTCCAGGAAGCCATTCACAACACAGAAATTGCTGCCCTTCTTTTCAAACTTTCCATTTTTCTTCAACATACTGAATGCCTTCCTTTCACTCTTTCTCCAATTTATTTTCTCTGGGCCACCTGCAAATTGTCATTTTAAGAAAATGTGATGGAATGTTCTTTTGGATTCTGGTAGTGACATACATACATAAAGAATCCTTTTGGTAATGTGAATAGCCATCCCTTTAGTCACTTGCTTTATATGCACAAACCTGCACACTGCAAAGTCTTTCAAAATAGAATATATACAACATAGCCTTTTACTGATAAATGGGATATCATAAGGTTTGTTCTAGTGCATATCTGGTAGAATCATGATTTGCTAACTTAATCACTCTAATACCAAGAATCAACTGTATTCATATAATATCGAGCACTTGCTCATCTGCGTGGTGGTGATGTTTGGTAAACAAAGTGTCGGCAGTCTGCCTGTCAATCTCATCTTTGTAATTCTCAAACATCAGCCCAGTAACCCAGGATCAGTGATATCAATACCGCCACTGACCTCAAATTTAACAATGAAGGGGCGATAAAGTGGGCTTCTAGGTATCACCTCTTGAAGTCAGGTTCGAAAAGTAACTGTCAGAACACAGCCACCATCTCCTCTCCCTATTCTAAAACACCACACAAGAGAGGATATGTCTTTTGGGAGACAATCTCGTGTACCCAAACTCTCCCCAGGTGTCTCGCCAGGCCCACTTCCCAGCGCGGTCCACACCCATCTCCTGCTTCCGGGATCATAAACAAAATCTTTGGCTACACCCACTGGATTGGCGGAGGTAGCTAGACCTCCCCTCCCCCTCCAGCTCGTTTAGCTGCGCCCTATGTCGCCTGCCCCAATCTGAGCCGCTCCCATCCCGCCCCCACCACTTACTCACCCGCGTGGCTAAAGAGCCTACACACCAGCCGCCGCCGTTCCTCCTTGAACTTGCGAGGCCGAACGAACCTCCAGAAAGCCGATTTGAGAAGAAAAGATGGAATCCAAGCCCTTCTGCGCAAACACGTTTGAATTTCCCCGCCGCTATTGCCGCGGCCCCCTATTGGTCGTTGCTGGTCACGTGGAAACGTCTTCCGTGATTGGTTCGTGTCCGTCGACACCTCCCCTTTCTCTGTGTCCCTTGAGTCCCGCCCAGGAAGGTTCGCCTTGACGCCACCCGCGCGGCTTCTGGAGTCCTGGGTTGCTGGCGCTTGATCTGCGTATCCCCGGCGCCTGGAGGCCGGCTTTTCGGCACCTCCCAGTTTAACCGCGCCAAATTTTTCCCGGGGAGGGAGCCACTCCGGGGAGGAATTACCTGGTAAGAGGAAGACGGGGGCAGGGACGCTGCTCCCAGCATCTGGACCTAAAAGGTGCCCTCTGAGTAGGTCCTTGCCCACTGACCACCACCCCACTCTTTTGTCCTCCACGACCCCGCTGACCCCGGCGCTCCTCACTGCCGGGATTAGGCAGGATGTGGCAAGAAAGGATGGTTCACAGCGCTTCCTTCAGCCCTGCCGCCAGCTCAAAAATCTCAGTGTTTTGTGTCCTTGAGTTTCCACACCCTTTCACGACCCTTAAGTGATTCCATGCTTCGTCTTCAAGCCAAGGCACTCCCTTTTGTCAGAATTTTGCGCAGAACTAACATGCCAATCACGATAGCCATATCTGACCTCTGTTTAATCTCCACTTCCCCTCCCTACTCCCCGCCGCTCCCCGATCCTATCCCACTTAAGAGCTCAAGTGTTCTCACGGAAAGGTCACTTCTCGAGTAATCTACGCAGGTGCGGGACTCTGCTAAGTGGCTTTGTGATCCAAGGCAACGAGATGTCTGTTGTACCCGCAACTTGACATGCTCTATGGGAGGAGAGGTTGTTTGGTTTTGTGTATGTGTAGGAAACTGACTGCAACTGTCACTTGTTAACTCCAAAGCTGTTCTTAGAACCTTGCATTCCCAGCTCTGGCCAGCCACCTGGCCAGCGTGAAAGCCTTTCCTCACTTAACGCATCTTTCCATACATAATGGCTGTTTTTTTGCTTCAGTAGAACAAAGTGATTTGCTACACGACATCATGGTTGACTAATCACCTTTGCACCGTTGGGTCTAACACTGCCTTTAGTTGGAAGAAATGTACTATCCCACCAATTCTTGTTGATCTCTTTAGCGTCTTAAAATTTGCATTTTTGTGAAAATACTGCTGCTGAATAACTTCACCTTAATACTTCTTTCTGTACATTCACTCCTTTGATGATCTCCAGTCTTATATTTTTAAGTACCATCTATACATTAATGACTCCCAAATTCATGTCTCCAGCTGAGTTCTTTTTCCTGAACTCCAGACTCATATACCATTGCCTACCTAACATCTCCACTTAAACCTCTCATATGCATCATAAACTCAAAATGTCCAAAACAGCCCCTGATTTTCCCTCTTCCTCCCATACCTGCTTACAAAATCTCCTCTGTTAAAGACAAATTCATTGTTCCATTTTTAAGTCAAAAATCTTGGTGTCATTCCTGACCCCCACATCTAATCCATAAGCACATATGTCAGGTCTAATAAGATATGCCTGGAATTCTACCACCTCTACTGCTACCACCCTAGTCCCAGGAATCTTCGATGCTTACCTTGATTACTGCAGCAGCCCCCTGGCTGGTCTCCTTGCTTCTGCCCTTGCCTCACCTCAATTTATTCTCCAGCACAGCAGAATAATCTTAAATCAGATCATGTCACTCCTTTGCTCAAACCCCTTCAGAGCTCCCTGTTTCACTCAGAATAAAAACCCGAAGTCCTTACAATGGTCTAGAGCTGCAATGTTTAATATGGTAACCATTAGCCACGTGTGGCTATTGAGCACTTGAAATGTGGTTATTGCAACCAAGAAACAGAATTTTTAATTAAGGTTAATTAAGGTTAATTAATGTAAAATTAAAAACTAAAGAGTTCAATTATTGGAAGACTATTAAATATATTTGGAACAATCAGGTACGTGAATTAACCTTTCGAAATGTAAATTTTGTTAATGCAGATTAAATACTATACATACTGGATTTTGAAGACTTAATCTGAAAAAATAATGTAAAATGTTATTAATAATTTTAAAAATATTGATTACAGTTTGAAATTATATTTTTGATATCTTGTATTAAACAAAATATATTATTAAAATTAATATCTCCTGTCATGGACCAGAAGAGACTAAAGAGATATGACAACTAAATGCAGTGTGGTATCACACTGAATTCTGGAACAGAAAGAGGATATTTATGGAAAAACTGATGAAATCCAAATAATAAATAACTGAAGTTTAGTTAACAGTAACATACCAAAGTTGGTTTCTTAATTTTGACAAATATACCACAGTAATGTAAGATCTTAACAGTAAGGAAATTGAATGAAGGTGTTTACCAACTGTACTATCTTCACAACTTTTCTGAAAATCAAAACTTACTCCAAAGTAAAAAAAAATTAAAATTTAATTTCACCTGTTTCTTTTTACTTTTTTAATTTTGCTCATGAATATTGAAAATTACACAATGTGACTTCCATTGTATTTCCATTAGACAGCAGTGGTCTATCAAATCCTGTAGTTTTATCTATCCGACCTGTTTATCATGTTTATTTTTTGACTCTCCACTCCCCTGCTAGAATTTATGTCTCCTTTGTAAGTGAAGTTCCAGCGAAGATAATATTATACTACAATTACTCATTTGGCTTCAAACCACCTTCATCTGACAATGAATAAACTTGTTTATTTTCAGTTAAGATTTTCAAAAAAACAATAAAATTCACCAAAGGATTTTGACTTTATTTTAAGATGGAAAGTTTCACATCTTTTTTACATAAAAGTTTAGACTGTGTAACTTTGTCACTTTTTTGCTAATCTGATGATTTTCAGTCAGCACATCTGCCTTTATAATTCAATTATTGAAGTCATTTTTATGAGTTCGCAAAGTCCCAAACTTCAGTTTCAGAAACTGTTTCTCATACTTGGATTTACTTTGTAAATGGGCAGAGGTTAAATTTCTAATCAATAATAAATCCAGTTCTCACAGCATGTAATCAGTTATACACTGCTTTCTGGTGATTTATTCTAGTATAACATGTTTTTAATGTACCTGATTTAGGTACATATAGAAATCGTGGGAACTGGTAAGAATGGTGAGAGCCTGTCAGGAAAGCTATATACTAGAGAATGGATCAAGCCTTTCCCAAAAGAAGAAAAAAACGCAAAGGACAGCTAACAAAGTTCTCCATAGATTATGAAGAAAAACAGCAATAACAGCATAGATTATGTTCTAACCAAGAAGAGCTGCAGTGACAGTTTGGGACCCTACTTGGACATCAGATATTGTTTAGTTATTCAGGCAACAGATTATATTAACAAATGGCAGAAAAAAAAAAAAAAGTGGAATTCCTATTTTCTCTACCATGGAGAATAATATTCAAACTAACAATCTTAAAAACAAATATAGTTGAAACTTGTCAGGTAAGGCTATATAAGAGAGGCATTTAAATTTCAAATTCTCTGATATAAAATAATTCTCTGAATTATTTTCTTATTTTAGCCATATGTTTTCAGTCTCTGCTGTGAAAAGGAAACTCACATAACTGTGTAATGTACTTGAGAAACAGAATATTGAAAAATTTGCATTATAATCCCAGAAACATGTCCATGATCTCTGAAAAGTCATGATAAACAGGAACAATCATAGAAAATTAGAAATGTACAATGTTTCTTTTTAGAAAAGGTAAAACTTGGAAGCTATAGGTCTATATAATCTTCATGTGAACTTTTTGGAAGCAGATATCTCATGATCCATTAAGAAAAACCCCTATAGAATATCCTAAATTCTCATCGTGTTGTTTTTTTTTTCTTTCTGAAATTAGGGAAGGCCATAAATATAGAATATCTTAACTTTGGCAAAGAAAGTGATACTCTTATTGTTTTTGTAGAAAAGAGAGGGGAATGTAAGCTCTATGCTGTTAATGTGAGATGATTCTGCAACTCTACAGACCATTATTCTCAAAAAAATATCGCTAAATGGTTTGAGGAGAACTTCAGGTTGACCCCTAGTGGAAGGCCTCAGAACTCTGTCCTTGGTCTTATTTTAAACTACACATTTTATCTGTATGACAAACAAATAGAAATAGTGTTTATTAATTTTGCACGTACTAATTAAAACAAGAAAGACAAAATGTTAGAAGAGAATAAGGACAAAATGAACAATATGAAATTTATAGAAATAAATGTAAAACCACACGTGTAGGTTTATAAAAACTCTCAAATACATAATTAGAGTCCAGCCGGTTGCAGAAACATGGTCTAGATTTATACTCTGAAAACAACAAAATCTGCACAAAATAAATAAAACAAACATTAGACATTAGCAGCACAGGAGAGTGATCTCTGAGAGTAGAGAAATAAGTGAGCCCTGAGGTTGTCCCTAGATTACTTCCTGGAAAGAATTACCAGGCTGCAGTGTAGGAATGGGGAACACAAGCATTACCTGGCATTCTCCGTAAGTTGAGATAGAATTCAGAATTTGGGATAGCCAAGACAACTGAGATTCACTGGGTACCAGAGTACCAGAGAAAAGAAGGCAGTACAGAGAGAACTCTGGAAATCTATAACGAAGACCCTTGAGGCTCCAGCTGAATACTGATGAATACATGTGTCTGAGGAAACTACCCTAAGGCCAGAGGAAAATAGTAGCATAAAGAATGGAGGGAATATTCTCAAGAGCTCATAAAGAGCAAGGAATAGTTTATGTTTCTCAATAGAGCAGCGGGCAAAAGACAGAGGCTATTACCTCAGTACCGGGGCAAAATTAGCCTTAGACTAAAGGCTACACTAGTCCAGCCTAATAAGGCTAAAGAGCAAGACTTGAAAGGATCAGACTGTTTCCAGAGAATTTAACTTTATCCCTGAACAAAGCTCAAGAATAATTATAGAAATAGAAGAAAATTCAAACAGGTCAAATTCACAATGTCTGGCATCTAACTGAAAACATTACAAGGTAGTTTAAGAAGCAGGAAAATGTAACTCTAAAAAAAGACACAAAAACTA